GGCCTGGGTTGGGTGGGGATGGATCAGGGTGCGTGGGGCCGAGTGGGATGTGATGTGAGGGTAAAAGCCACGGGGGTCGTTGGGGTGTGTTTGTGATGTTGGTTGGGGGGGTGGGATGCCGGGGTGCACGAGGTTGGGGCAGGATGGGGGCGTGGCAGGGTTGGGGTGGGCACGAGGCTGGAGGGCGGGCTGCTGTAAGCAGGGCTTGCGATGGCACAAAACACATGCGAAAACACACTCAGACAACAACAAACGTGCACGGGCGTCCATGCACGCGCAGCAGTGAGGTGGGCCGTCTGCTCAGCCTGGTGCCAGTAACAAAGGTGTGCGTTCATTGAGGGGGTTGCCCGCTCAAGCAAAGAGTACAAAGGGTTTGCGTTCTCATCACCGCAGACGACGCCATCGGCGTTTGTCTCACTCCTGCACGCACGACACTGACTTGCACACACGCACGCGCGTGCACACACACATGCACACACACACGCGCGCTCATACGCACGCACACACATACACACGTTGAATACACAGAGTGCTTGGGTGCGGGGTGCGGCCCCACCCCATCAAGGGCCCCACCTGCTTCTTCCTCATGTCGCTGCTGCTCCAGTCCTTGGTGTACTGCCGCCGGATGTCGTCAATGTAGTCCTTCAGCTTGCGCGCCTGGGGCAGCGGTGTGTGTGCGTGTATGTGTTTGCGTTTGTGTGTGTGCGTGTGTTGAGGGCGAATTAGAGGTTCGACGGCGGGGACCACTCAAGGTGTGCGAGGTAGCCCGGGTGCTCGGCCATCGAGCGAGGTGGTCGCGGGGCCAGAGCATCCAGGAGTGAGACCTGCATCCCTCAGAGCCCCGCCAGAGCGGCATGTGCCGCGACGACTGCAGCGACCCACAGGGTGCCCCCTCACTCAGCCATACGCTGGCCGAATCACCCGCCCTCGCATCAACCCCTGCAATGACCCCTTCTTTTGACACAACGCCCTCCACTAGCGCTCAGGGCGCACACCCTCTGCCAACCCCTCTTCTCGTAGTATCCACAGGCAACCCTTCAACGCCTCCCCCCCCACCCTCCCCCCACCTTCTCATACTTAAGGAGGTCGCTGCTGCTCTTGAAGGTGCTGTTGGCGCTCAGCCACACGTACCTGGGGGGGGGTGGGGGGGGGATGGTGGGTTGGTGGGTGCGGTGCGCGTACGCGTGCGCATGTGTGCATGTGTGTATGTGAATATGTGTATGCGTGTGTGCGCGTGCGTTGCGCTCGTGCGTGTGTGCGTGTGTGCGTTCGCGCGCGCCCACAACCGCATGCATGCTTGTGAGGGTGCGCGGGACGGCTGCACTGGCGACAATGATGGTGAACGGCAGGGTGGGAGCAGGTTGACAGGTGCACCCCTCACATCCCTCCCTACACACCCAGCGGTGGGCATCTGCCCCTTCACCGGTTCACATACCCTCAAACGGAACAACGCGCACACACACACGTACACACACACACACATCAGCATATGCATACGCACATGCACGCACACACGCACAGCCCCGCACTTGAACTCCTTGGGGTTGACCGTGTCGCGCCAGTAGGCCAGCCACGTGACGCCGTTGTCGTGGCGCACCTCCTTCCAGCTCTGGCCCTGGTAGGGGTGCTGCGGCACGGGCGCGTCCTTGCCTGCAGGTTTGACCAGGGTGAGGGGGTTCGACGTGGGATGAGGCACGTGCGAGCCGCCGGGCGGGCGGTCACCCAGGGGTGGTGTCAGGCTGGCAGGAAGCTTCATATCCCTGCTGTGCTCTGAGCTGCCCGAGTTTGTCACAATAAACCCTATCAGCACAGGAGATGGACGGCAGCTTGGTCAACCGGCGCGCCTGAAGCCAAACAGCGCGTTCACGCCCCCGCCATGTGCCAGCCCTCCAGCCTGCGACACACAGCTCGCCAAGCCCCGTGCCACAAGCCGCGAGCAGCCGCAGCCCCTCTGCCTCGCGCACCCATCGCCCGGCCCCGACCCTGCTATCTAGGATCCCTCCGTTCACACGACACTGCCCACGGCCCCTTCCTCACCCTCAAAAAAAAATCAAGGCCCCACCTATGTTGATGGTGATGTCGCGGGGGTAGACCCTCTTCTTGACCTTGCCCATCTTGGGGTGCTCCCCGCGGCCGCGGAACAGCCCGGGAGGCTCCACACGGAAGTTGCCCACCTGCAGGAGCCAGGGTGTGTGTTAGGG